ATCCTTCCTGCAAACACACACAAACGATAGCATACTAAAGTATAATGTCACATGATTTGTTCATCAAAGAATATATAAGGACAAGTCTGAGGAGACAGTAGTTGCTAGAAATATGAGGTGTTACAAAACAAGAGGTGTGGTCATGAGTAAACACTATAGCCTTTAAGAGCCACAGACAAACTTCATAATAAGAATACATTTTATGAAGCATTATGAAATCATAACAACACCTTTCTCCCAAATAAAAAACACATTTTCCATAAAGTTCTACATTTAGCTTTAAAACATCCTTTCCTAGGTATTTACGTTTTTTTCTTTTTATTTTCTCCCTAGGTATTTATGTATGTAGTGTCTACTACCCGCTGAATGATGAGAATCATTGATCAGCTGCCTCCTGCACACCCCTACTGGGGATTGAGCCCTAAACCGGGGCATGTGCCCTTGACTGGAATCGAACCTGAGACCCTTCAGTCTGCAGGCCGATGCTCTATCCATTGAGCCAAACTGGCTAGGGCAGGAGCTCATCTTTAAAAAGGGAAGCTGATGGATAAGGAGACCATTATAAGTCAGTGTATGGTTTATTCATGGCAAAAAAAAAAAAAAACTACCTTTATGTAACACTGTAAGGAAGTCAGCCATTAATTCATTTGTGCTCAAGTCATATATTAAACCAAAAGAATCCTAATCCAAATAAAAATCATGAGTTGCTGTAAATTGAGTACAGAATCAGTAGTTAAGAGCATGGGCTCCAGACAGTGCTGTCTCTTGGACAGAGTTCAGTAGTGGGCCTGGATTAAATGTTTTTTCATCAGACTCTTGAAATTGTTAATACTTTTATCTGTGAAGCTGAGTTTTGTGAGTGCAGTGGAACATACATCAAGGGCTTGGTCTCACATCCTCCCATTTGTGTTCTTTGGCTTCCCACAGCCCTGTCTATGCCCAGCGCAGGCACCCCTCCCTGATTGCTGGGGCAGGGCTCCTAGGCACCTGTGAGGGAGTGCGCTAGCCCCACCAGTATTCCTGTGATTGAGGGAGCAACAGACTAAATACCAATAAGAAATATATGACAGGCCAATAAACCAGGAAAGAAACTTTTTCCTACTTTTTGGATGAGGGGTTCTGCATTTTCATTTTGTACTGGGCTCCGCAGATTGCAACCAGCCCTGGAGTCCTCCAGTTTCCACATCTGTAAGATAAGAATAATTGTTTTTATCTAATTGGATTTGCTACTATTTTGGAGATCATGTGTCCCAGAACTTGATTCATGTTACGCTCAGCAATCCGGGTGTTAAGTATTAATCAATATATTACCTAATTCATACTCACTCCCTCAAGTCTCCTCTGCCTGCAGGCTAATACTTTAAAATACCCATTCCCACAGGCGGCGGCAAATGTGTGTCCTGGTTTTGCTTTACACGTTCATTATCTAATTAAACTTTCTTACAGTGTGCAGGAAAAACATGTTCATGCCTAACTTATAATGTGCGGCTGAAACAAAAAGTTGTATCTAATAAGGCGTGCAAGAATCTTCACATGTACTAGATAAATAAAAATTCGGAGCAAAACCTAGTGATTCAAGTGATGCTTTCAAAAAAGCTCTCTCACCTGCACTGGGACAAAAAAGACTAAGGTCCTTACAATGCGGGCCCAGTCTACAAGTGAATAAAATAAAACCAGCATCTTGAAAAATTCCTTTACAAACAGATCGCAGAGCGCCCAGGGGCCACCGCTCACGCCTGGTTTCCATAGGAACGCGCAATTCCGGCGCGTAGCCCTCTGCTCCGGAAGTTGTCCTGTCTCAGCGGCTGTGTCCCATTGATTCAAGCGTTGGTTCGCGCACACGACTGAGGAGTTTTGGGCCAAAGAGGCCACCGTTGAGGGGGCGTGGTGACGCCGACGCTAAAGGCGGACTGAGTTCACGTGCCTCTGCGGATCCGCTTCCTAGATCAACCATGGCCCAGCCTGGGACCCTGAACCTCAATAACGAGGTGAGCACCGAGGTCTGGGGGCCTGTGGGGATGACCTTGAGGGCCCTCGAAGGGATCTTCTGCGTTTCTCTGAAAGGCGCGTGGTCTGGCCGGGGTGACGATGGGAAGTGCGGAGAGGAGCCTGCAGCGGGGCCCGGGCTGGTGTCCGGAACTCGGCGGATGCAGCGGTAACTCCGCTTCAGGTTTCTAGGTGGCTGAAGCTAGAGACGTATCCCTGACGTCTGGACCCAGGAACTCGTGTCTGTGGGACTTCGGGGATGTATATATATATCCAGTGCCCTCCTCTGTACAACTAAACAGTATAGTACAAGGTTGTGAGGATTAAATTAACTGGAATACGTAAAGTGTTTGCACAGTGCCTGACAATCAGTAAACTCCCGGTACACGTTACCTACCTTATGTAGCGTCTCCTGAGAAATTGCTGACCCTGTATGAGGTCATATCTTTTATGAGGATGTATGCTCGGTACCTCATTTCCTCCTTCAGAGAAAGCCCCATTTCTTTGCTTTCATTTACAGCAAAACTTTAAGAGCTGTTTATACTTGTGGCCCCCAATTCTTCTTCGCCCGTGCTAATTCCCGTCTCATCAAACATTTGCCTGCATCACCATAGCGTGCTCACTAGGCTACCGTTTCTGCCACTCTTCTCTTTACAGTTTTTGCTTCTATTCCAGGGAGTTATAAATCATCTGAAGATTAAACTTAAGCTGGAAAAGCAAGGTTCAAATTAGGATCTCACAGCTACAGCAAAGATAGTTCTTTAACTTCTTTATTCAGTGGATACATGTGTCTGCTGTAAGCTGCTCACTGTTTATATTACACCGTTGTGTAAGACACTTTCTATTTTCAAGCAACTTACACCAGGTAGGAAAACTCACCTATGATTCAGAATAATGCCCAGGAAAACTGTTAGTACAGAAAAGTTTCCAGAAAAGGCAAAGTGAAGTGAGTGCAGTATTTGTTCTTGGGATTTAAGAATCTTATGCAGGAATTTCAGGTCAGTGATTCAATGAAGGGGAAGAAGGCATTCCAGACAGATGGACCAGTATAAGCAGAAAAGGGATGGTAGTAGGAAACCGCTTGAGTGGTGTAGGGATAGAAACTCTCCGTTGATGAGACCTTGTGGGATGAAGTAGGAAATGAAACTGAAATATATTACTTCCTTACTGCCAGGCCAATAAATCAGGGTTTCATTTGGCAGTGGAGTACAGGATTTATTAGAGAGGGAAATATTAAAGATGCTCCGCGGATATTTATCAACATGATAAGCTTGTGTTAGTTCCAGAAAACATTTAGTGGGCTTTTTTGCATTAGGTTAACTATGGGGTATAAAAGATCTAATGGGAGTTCACTGGAAGTACTAGTGAGTTCCTGCTCAATTTTGAAATTACTCTGAGAGTAGTAATGACATATGCCACTCCTCATTTAAGGCTCTTTCTTTTTTCCATTGAGCTCATTTCCAGGCCTCTTCCAAATAAATTTTGACCTTTAGGAAGTCTTCACTGATTCACCTCAATCTGGGCTAAGTATCCATTCTCTGTGCAACTAGAGTGCTTTCTACTTTGAAAACACCTGTTTACCTGTTTCTCTCTTTTTGTGTGTATGTCTATCACCTACAACATATGTGCTCTATAATTGTTTGCTGGATGACTAAATGGATGACAAATTGGAAGCTTACATTCTCACACTACTAGGTGTTCCGGTTAATAATGGCGGATTTTGTAATCAAAGAAAACACGATCATTTCAAGAGAAACATCAAAAGTGCTTTATTCAAAGTAATGTCCATCGCTAGCTACACATTTCCCCCATCTTTCAGGTAATTTGTGGATACCGTCCCAATAGAACTTTTCTTGTTTTGAGGCAAACCATTCAGAGACCCAATTTTCCACTTCTTCATACGTTTTGAAGTGCTGCTCAGAAAGTGCATGTGCCATCGATCATAACAAGTGGTAATCAGAAGGAGCAAGGTCTGGTGAATATAGCCGGTGGGTTAATACTAACCAGGCAAGATCTTTTAACGTCTTTAACTGGTTTTGAAGTGTGTGATGGTGCATCATCATGAAGCAAAATTACTTTGCTGTGTCTTCTGGCACATTCTGGTCGTTTCACGATCAAAGCATGGTTCAAGTTGATTATTTGTTGTCGGTAGTGACCAGTATTAACGGTTTCACCTGGTTTTAGAATCTCATAATACACCACACCTTCCTGATCCCACCAAACACAGAGCATTGTCTTCTTTTCGAAGTGATTTGGCCTTACAGTCGATGTTGATGGTTGACTTGGATCAACCCATGATTTTGTGCATTTGGGATTCTCAAAATAAATCCACTTTTCATCGCCAGTCACAATTCGACACAAAAATGACTTTCTTTTGTGCCGTTGAAGCATTTTACTGATGACTTTTCGATTTTCCATTTGTCTTTCGTTCAGTTGATGTAGCACCCATTTTTCTTCTTTTAAAATCTTTCCCATTGCTTGTAAATGATTGGAAATTGTTTGCTGAGCAACGTTTAATCTTTCTGCAAGTTGTTTTTGAGTTTGACACACATCTTCATCCACTAATGCATGTAATTGTTGGTCTTCACACTTTTTCAGTTGACCTGGATGTTCTTTGTCTTTCACATCGAAATCATCACTTTTAAAGCATTTAAACCAGCGTTCACAAGTATCTTTTTTAAAAAATATATTTTATTGATTTTTTACAGAGAGGAAGGGACAGGGATAGAGAGTTAGAAACATCAATGAGAGAGAAACATCGATCAGCTGCCTCCTGACACCTCCTACTGGGGATGTGCCCGCAACCAAGGTACATGCCCTTGACCAGAATCGAACCTGGGACCCTTCAGTCTGCAGGCGGACGCTCTATCCACTGAGCCAAACCGGTTAGGGCCACAAGTATCTTGAGATGCAGCATGTTCACCATAAGCTTCCCAAAGTATACGATAACTTTTTCTTCAAAATAAAGTAATGAATTAAAACTTCCTGCAAATATTCTTTTTTTTGCACAAAATTCAACATTTTTAAGCGTAGAAATATCTATGACGTTAACACTTTCAGCAAATTTGACATATGAAGTTTTGAAACTTGCTGTGAATACAACAAAATAGCATACATATCAAATCGCATATATGTTAACATATATGTAACTTCATCTATTGAGAAAAATCCGCATTATTAACTGGTACACCTAGTAAAGTAAATCTTACATGTTCTAATATGAAGGTGGGGGGGGGGGGGAAAGTAGACATGATGGTATAATCTTAATGGGAGGAAAACTGCAAAGGGAAAAGCAAATAGAGATTTGTCTGCATAAAATTTGAAAAACATCCTAAAGAGGGGAGGGAGACAAAACCAATTAGGAAAAGAACTAGGGCAAATATGACAGATAAATGGCTAATGCCATTACTGTAAAATACCTCAAGAAAATTAGGAGGAACCATCTCATAGAAAATTGGTAAAGTAAATGAATTAACTCTTCCAAAGAAGAAATGTACCTGAAAAAAAAGTTCAAATTCACTGTTATCTTTCAGATCTTTTTCATTACTACCCCTATCCTAGTCCATGTTATATCTCCCACCAGCACTACTGTACTATCCCAGCTACTTACCTGTGATTCCTCTTTCCCTCCAATCTCATCTCTGTAGTGCAGCTGGAGTGCTCTCTTCAAAACATAAATCTTACCTTGTCACTCCCTTTAATGCAGCTGAAGTATTCTCTTCAAAACAAAATTAATCATGTGACTCCCTTGCTTAGAACCTATTTGATGATTTTCCCATTGCTTTTGGTCAAGACCTATCTAAATAAAGCCAATCTCTCCATCTTCTATTATACCACTCCCCACCCCAACACCCCCACCTCTGTCTCTTTACTTCAACTACACTGGCCTTCCTCCACCATCTATCCAGGGGTGGGGAACCATTTTTTTGCCAAGGGTCATTTGGATATTTATAACAACATCATTTGAGAGCCATCCAAAATTATCAGCTTAAAAATTAGCCTGCTATATTTGGTTAAACATTTAATTAACTCACCCCTAATACCTTGGCAGGACCAGATTGAATGATTTCACTGTCTTTGTACGGCTTTTGGGCCAGACATTCCCCACCCCTGATTTAGCACAGCATCTACATAGCCTATGCTTTTGCTTTTAACTGTTTCTCTCATTAGTCCATTTCATACTTTTTCAGGGAAAGCATTCTTGACCTTCATTACCCCTTTTATAAGCTCTTGTAGAACCATTTTACCTCATTTTAGAAGTAAGCTTGCAATAGTTGCTTAGTGTGTATGTGAATGTGAGAGAGCTTTCTATTCCCTCCACCTAAGTTTTTGTTCACTATCATATCCTCAGTACCTATCTGTTGAATGAGAATTTGAAGCATCATTTTTATGATCCTTAGTAACTTAAATTAGCTCTCCTTAACTGAGATCCAAGAATGTATTTCAGGGATCCTCTAACTGCCAGAAATTATGTGTAATTTTGTGTTTGTATGCCTGTCTCTGAAGGGAAAAGAGTCCTTAGGCATTCATCTATAAAGTTCTGGTATTATCTTTAGAATGTTGGCACTTGTGGTGAGCTGTTTCTGTTTCCCGCGACCCGCACGGGAAAACGACAGGTTCCTGAGCGGAGGAGCTGGGGATTAGAAAATAAAGAAAAAACGAGACCAGACACAGAAATAGAGACAAGCTGGGGCCAGGTGGGGGGCTGCCACTCTGATGGAGGGACAGTCACACCCACCACAGACAACACAGCGCATTTATTTACTTCCAAAGGGGAGGTTTAAGGTCAAAGGAATTTTGGGTGTACCCAGGTCCTATTCATTCCTCATTCCTGGCACAAGGACAGGATTTAGCATATCAAGACCTGGGTAGGTCGATTCATTCCTTATTCCCAGCACATGGATAAAGATAAGATATCAGTACTGATAACAGTCTCCAACATTTTGGGAGGCTGTTTTTCCGGGAGATGGCCCTGCCAGTCACCTCGGACTCAGCTGACATT